TGCCATGTGTAACGTATGTAAATCTGAAGATGAAATTAAGACTGTAATAGAAGGGGATGATGTACAACTTATTTTTCTATATCCATGTAACAGTACAAGAGTTACACTACAATATGGAAGGAGAGAGCCTTTTTACACCTTGGCAGGTACAGAATCTATCGTTTTACTACCTGTACAAGTACACAGATTTACTTTCAAGAATAAAAGTGAACATGATCATTGTTCACTACATGTCAGAATCAGCCCTGTAATGAGAAATGATGCTGGAATATACATTTGCATTGCCTTTAGTGAGGATGGTATAAATTATGAAAGTTCATTTAAAAGAATTGGATTGGATGTTGATTTTCTGCCTGGTAAGGCATCATGTACACTGAATGAAGAGTACATGATTGGGGATTGGGTAGCACTGAATTGCATTGCTCCAGTTGGGAGTTTATCAGGCCAAATTGAATGTTATCAAAATGGGGAGAAGATGCCTTCACCTGCATCCCCTACTGAAACCTACAGATATTTGAAGCAAAGCATACTTGTAAAGAAAAAGCACTCTGTGTTTTGTTGTACTTCTACCTGGGAGCACACTAAAGATCTGTGTGATTGTAATGATTTTCAATGGGACCTAGCCAATGACCTAAACCTGAGCTCAATCATAGATCCATGTGGTCCAACGCAGGATCTAATAGAGACCAGTGATAGTGCCTTCACTCCCTCAAAACCAGTATCCACAACGGCAACAACTATCAAGATCAATTCGCACACTGGCTCAGTGCCAAGGATATATGTGGTTGTTTTTTGCTTTGGTTCTATTCTCATAACTGGTTTATTCATTCTTGTGATTGTATTAATGCTCAGATCAAAGAAATCAAAAGAGAAATTCAAATCAAGTTTGGATCAAAGTCCACCCGAAAAAGGGGCTATGTTATAAGTTCATCACTCTGTTTTACTCTTATGTCATTCCGTATTCTGCTTTTGTTCTTGCTGATTTTTTGTTCTTATGTGTATCATGTCGTTAATATGTTGAATGATTACTATGTACATGTATAGTGTTTCGTTATTTTTTCATGGAAATGTGAAAATAAATAAATTAGATTTAACACATATTTTTACTGATCAATCTCGAATGTCATAAAGATGAGAGCTGAAAAGATATAAACTTTATCTATCGAGATTAAGCAATAAAGTGCAATGTAAAAATTATTTTTTCGAAATAGTTTAATTGTTTGTGGTTTTCAGCAACATAAGGTCGTTTTGTTACAATTTTCATGATTTGAAAACTTCATTAAATACGTATTTACTAAATAATCAACTATTTAGAAAAACGTTTTTGAAAGTTTTTATCGTAAAGAAACAGCATGACTTGTATTAAAAGTTATGTGTGTCTTTGTAGGAGGCCAATCGTCTTCCAAATTTGTGTATTTAATCAGTATTACATTTTTTTGTTAAAGTGTGTTCGTTTTGTGAAGTAAGCAGTTAAAATACACCTTCTGAAATTTTACGTTTTCTTGTCAACAATACCACAATCACAACGACAAAATTGTCATACGACTACTGACATACCACTGAAAAAAACAAATTATACTGAATGGTCAGTTTTGAATTGGTTTAGTGTCAGTTTGACAGTGTGACTGAGGTATATATATATGCAATTATAAGCGATAATATATTCAAAGACATTTTTGTATTGAGCCAATTTGTACAAAATTAATTTAGCCCTTACCAACAATCCTTGAAGGGAATCGTAGATCACCTCTTCACTATAAATATATATTGTGTGTACATGTAAATATTGTGTTCTATTTTGTCTATACGCAGTTACCAACAACACTTATCTATTAAAAGGGTTGTTTATTTGTGTTATTTAGTATTGTGTAAGTTATTACCAACAATTAGTTCTTTACATTGTTTGAGTATTCTATTTTGTATATATGTAATTTTTAAAATGCATTGTGTGTTTAATCTAATTTGTAAAACTGGTACATACCTAGCCGCCTACGGTAATCTGGAACGGCATAGACGGGATCACCGGTTACTACATTGGAAAATGGTACATGTACATCCAACAGTTATGTTTTTTGTGTCTGAGAATCGTGGCTTCAAATTTTTTAACACGAAACAAACAAAATCACCTAAAGAGGTGTATTTCTTTCAGCTTTTTTACGATGTTTTATGCTTAAAATGTATTACAACCTCAGTGGGTTTTTTTTTCTTCTCTTTTGTCTGCCTTTTCTAATGATATGATATTTGTAGTTTCTAATGATATTTTAAATTCAAAGCTACCGATTAGTTTCCAGTCATGTATTGTTGTTACCTTTCCTTTGTCTAAAATCAGAAATGTTTTATAACGATATTCAGTATGCTTTATATTATGTAATTTTTTTTAAAAGTATGTACCATAAGTTATGAAATACATACCGGTATCTATTTCCCAACTAAAGGATTATTTTATTGAAATTGTTATTGGTATATGTGCTCGGGAGAAATGGAGTGATGCTACCATTTTGTTTTTCCAGCTTCTTTCCTATAGCTCATGAATCCAATACTTTGAGATGTATGTGACTGAGCTGTTCTTATACTATTAAATTGTGTGTATTTTAATGGAATAATATTTTACTTTGTTTCTGTGTTCTAGTCTCTCTCTCTCTCTCTCTCTCTTTCTCTCTCTCTCTCCCTACCTACGAAATTTTATATTCCTTTACTTGTTGTGTTCAATTGTTGTTCACGGCCTTGCTGAAAAGCAGCTTCTAGCTGATAGCAGGCTTTTTAACCGTGATTTAATAAATAAAATACAAATACCCTTCTCTATCTATTACCATGGACCTAAACCATCCTCTCCCTCTCTCTCTCTCTCTCTCTCTCACCCTCACTCACACCCCATCTCTCTCTCTCTCTCCCTACCTCACCTTCTCTCTCTCTCTCTCTCTCACACCCCATCTCTCTCTCTCTCTCTACCTCACCCTTCTCTATCTATTACCATGGACCTAACCCTCCCTCCCACCTCTCTCTCTCTCCCTACCTCATCCTTCTCTATTATATTACCATGGACCTAACCCTCCCTCCCACCTCTCTCTCTATATTCCTTGTTTTTAATATAAAAATAATATCTAAAAAAGATACCTTAACCAAGGCAAATAGTCATTAAAAATGATATACTGGGAAGAATTGAAAAAAAAATGTCAATAAAGGCTGGGCCTACATTGAATTTGTGTAAAAATACACAGATTCATTTCCAACATGTGTTGGTTCTGTACACGTTCATGTTGATATGTATAATTGTTGTTTTGTGTATTCTCCCTCTCTCTCTCTTATTCTTCTCTCCCATGCTCCTCCCTCCTCTCTCGCTTTTATTCCGTCTCTCACTATATATCCCTCCTCCTCTCTCTCCACTCACTTCTCCCTTATTTCCCTCTCTCTCTCTCTCTCTCTCCTTGATTTTAATGAAACCCTTACAAAAAAAATCTCTATGGTACACCATACAAACACCATAGCAAATCTACCATAGATTACCATACAAACACCATAGCAAATCTACCATAGATCTACCATTCATTTACCATAGAACTAATTAAAATAATTGGGACAAATTTATTCATTTATTCAAATTAGGCCACACCTACATATTCTACCATAGAGCCACCATTCATATACCATAGAGCCACCATAGAGTCATCATTCATCTACCATAGAGCCATCATTCATCTACCATAGAGCCACCATTCATCTACCATAGAACCACCATTCATCTACCATAGAGCCACCATTCATCTACCATAGAACCACCATTCATCTACCACAGAGCCACCATTCATCTACCATAAAGCCACCATTCATCTACCATAGAGCCATCATTCATCTACCATAGAGCCACCATTCATCTACCATAGAGCCACCATTCATCTACCATAGAGCCACCATTCATCTACCATAGAGCCACCATTCATCTACCATAGAGCCATCATTCATCTACCATAGAGCCACCATTCATCTACCATAGAGTCACCACTCATCTACCATAGAGCCACCATTCATCTACCATAGAATCACCACTCATCTACCATAGAGCCACCATTCATCTACCATAGAGTCACCACTCATCTACCATAGAGCCACCATTCATCTACCATAGAGCCACCATTCATCTACCATAGAGCCACCATTCATCTACCATAGAGCCACCATTCATCTACCATAGAGCCACCATTCATCTACCATAGAGCCACCATTCATCTACCATAGAGCCACCATTCATCTACCATAGAGCCACCATTCATCTACCATAGAGCCACCATTCATCTACCATAGAGTCACCATTCATCTACCATAGAGCCACCATTTATCTACCATAGAGCCACCATTCATCTACCATAGAGCCACCATTCATCTACCATAGAGCCACCATTCATCTACCATTCACTACCATTCAAAATACGCAACAAAATGTTACGCTTAATTGTAGCATTTTGAAATGGTATATTCAGAATGGTAGTTTGGATCTTGATCTATGGTTAGCAGAATGGTGGCTGTAGTGCGTTCTATAGTACACAGAATGGTGACTATAATATATTGAATTTTTGAGAAATCTAAACTTAAATGTTAACTTACAATACACACATGATGCTTATTAAAAAAATGAATTGAATGAAAGTGGCAGGATGTATTTGGTTTATATCAAAAGTTGTATGCATGTACATATGCTAAAAACTAAAATAAAAGGCAAGTAAAAAATATATCACATAAACATGTACACTACAAACTAAAATGAAAGGCAAGTTCGTAATTGCAACACATATTACTTGGACTTATTCTACTAAGGTGTAATAAATACCCACATATATATCACCCTAGTTCCTCTAAATAACTAAAATGTCATATATAGTGTGTATGTAAACATGACTAAAATGAAAGGCAAGTTAAAAATATATAAACATGTACAATAAAAACTAAGGCACTGAGTTGCAGCACAGAAATGTTTTAAAACATTGTATAAACATGTACAATGAAGTTCAAGTCAAAGAGGTTATATGTGAGTTCGAAGAGGAGCAGAAAATACAAGCCTTGCTGCTCATTTTTGGAGTCTCTGAAGGCGATCAAGGTCCCTCTGGATGAGAACACTGAAGGCCCAACCCTTTCTATACTCAAACTGTTTACATGATTTTGATAGACCCTCTGTGTCAAACAATCTCCCCTGTATCGATCGGTATCACTACCCCCACCCCATGATTCGATGTGTAACCTCGTCTATGCCATGTTCCATCGTAGGGCACTGCCACGTCCACATGATCATTTTCCCTGATGGTCAGATCCTTGTCCATGGCCCTTTGACGTAGGCATGCTGCCACCTTCTTCTTCTGATCCTTACTGGTCTGCAAAAAAAAAAAGAGTTTGTAATAAATAACAAGTAAATTTCAAGTTCCCTCAGGCCCCTTACTTATTAGACCCTATTACAAATATTTGGATTTGATTAATTTTCATCCCTTGATTTGACAAGAAGGGATATTGATGTACATGTATTATACTGTCTATCGACCATACCTAAGAAATAAAATATGTTTGGATTAAATGAACGTACAGCTAAGATAATGTAATGAAGAAAACACAAGGCTGGTGACTAACCTCTTGGGATAAGGAAGATAAAGTGGCTATGTGCCTGTTGTAGCTAGGGGCTTCGACTAGTGGGGCTGTTCCGAGGATGGTCAGCAAGTCGCACAAGCTATCCCGTGCCAAACCAACCTCCGTTGCTGCCAGAGTAGCTCTGCGGTTTATTTCTGCAGACTTTCCACGTCCTTCGCATTCATTTTCTGATGAAGAGAATGTCCTCTTCTTCTTGCAAATGAAGCAACCAAGGACCATGGCGCAGTTCAACCCATTCCTCTTTGACAAATTCTCCAGAGGAATGAGATGCCCTGTAAAAGATATCCAAAACACTTTATGGAACAGGGAAAATATTTTGAAAAGCACAATCCCCAAATAATAACAAAGTGCTAGTTATGACATACATGTAGTATATTACACAAATACACATTTTCACAGATTTCACGACAATTCCGATGGCCCCACTTCGATTCACCATAGAGTAAAGGAGGGGTTTTATCGGCCACTTAAGACAAAATCCTATTTTTTGGACTCTTTACTTCCTATTTATTATCATTTCTTGTTCAAATCATGAAGCAAATACTATTATTATTTAAACAAAGAAAGAATCCCAGAAAAAAAATCATGAATTGCCATGACAACATTCATTTCAATTTTCACTGTTTCGGAGGTAGTTTTCGGCCTAGCGAGGCAGTTTTCGGCCGCACGTACAAAGTCAATAGGAAGCAAGCAAGCGCGCCATGCGTTTCCCCACTGATCTATAGCACTAGCGGCCGGAGCAGGTATCCCAAGCCGGAGCTTCCTGTGCCGAAAACTTCGTCTGCGGTGATCAGAAATTGGAATCTGAATTAGACAGAGATATCGTGTGTGCGCTGCGGTATCCGGCTGCATTGATTAAATACATGCGATGAGATACTTTTGAGCTTGCGACTCACACAAAATCGGACTCTAAATCTGAAAAATACTTGAAATAAAGCTCATTTTATGGTACCCATATTCCTTACACGCGTAAGATACTTAATTTTTCAGATTCGGGGAGCGGGACCGCCGATTACATCGCTAAAATGTGATATTTTAGGATATATTTTCCATTGCAAATGTGGTTCTTCAGTGACTCTGGCATGGTATGGTATGTGTGGGATATATGATATGCTGTTATGCGATGGATTTTACAGGGATTTTACCATGCATCCAACGGATCGGCCGAAAACTGGTGATGGTCGATTACCCCTCCTTTACTCTATTCTTAATCATTTGATTTGGCTTTTTGAGCCATTCACCCCTTGAGCATGCAATACAATCTCAAAGTAACAGTTTGCAAACTAAAAATATTGTTTGATAGTAAGTACATACCTCCCAGATACACGTGAGCCTTTTGCAAAGCAGCTGCAAGTTGTGGGCCACTAATGACGCGGATCTTCACATGTGGGACCAGGGCCAAAAATAGGGCTGTCCAAACACTTATTCAGGGAAAGCTTCCTCGATCTCTGAATTAGCTGTTAGTTCTTCTGGCACCTCTCCAGGATTCATGTTACTCTTCTGTAATATCTGGTATTGATCTCCTTTGAACACCTTCCTCTTCCTCACATATTTTGGAGTTTTGCGAAGCATTTTCAGTGAGTAGAAATTGGAGACCAACGGCTAGAAGAGTTATTCAAATCTTGGGCACAAGGTGGCAGCAAACAGCCCTTGTTATCTACTTTCTGCTGATATACATTACTTGTTACAATTTGGTTTAGAATTTTTTATTTAATGATTTCTTTAATTGATTGAGACTAATTGAGTGCAAACAGAGGCAGTGGAGCGACTTCCAAAGTGGGGGGGGGGGGGCCGGGGGGGGGGGGGGCACACCAACAAAAAGGGCACTTTCTGGAGAAAATAAATAGGGCACCTACAAAGGGAAATCTCAAAGCGAAAATATATATTAACAAAAAAAAACATTTGTATATACCCCCTATATTGTGATTAGATTATCAGGGATGATTTCAATATTTTTTTTATCTTTATAAATAAGATTTGTGAGGTCGCAGTGCGAAAAATTACATCAATTATAAAGAAGAAAAACCCAATCCTGATGGGTTTATTACATTATCATAACAGAAGACTGAAGAGACCTTTGATAAGTACCATAATTATAACATCTAGAAATGCGGGTGTGCTTTGGGTGATATTGCTCTTAGTAGCTGGAAATTAGGGGCACGTGATGAGAGGAAAAGGGGACACTTATCGAAAAGGGTGACACTTATTAGAAGAAAAAAAGGAGCACATGTCAAGTTACAACGGGTAAATATCAGATGGTGAAAATGGGGCACGTACGTATCATTGTTAAAGGGTAATTATCTGATGTGAAAAGAAAAGGGGCACTTATGAGAATGAAAAAGGGGCACTAATAATAAGCGGAAATGTTCATTTGTTGTACGAAAAGGGGCACCGATCAGTTTTTAATAGGGGCATTTAATACGAGGGGAAGGGGGGGATTTATGAGAAGGGGGAAGTGCAGGCTATTATTAAAAAGAAAAGAGGCACATGTCAAGATAAACGGGGCACTTATGAGAGATGAAAAGGGGGTAATTATGGGAAGGGGATGGGGCACTTAAAAGAAGGAAAAAGAGCATTTATTAGGAAGGGAAGGGGGCATTTATGATAAAGGGAAGGGGCTCTCTTTTAAATGGGGCAAAATAAAAGGAGCAGTTATTGAAGATGAAAAGAGCACTTATCAGGAGGAAAAGGGACACTTGTCAAAATAAAACGAGTACCTCTCAGAATTTAATAGGGTCATTTACTAGAGATGGAACGGGACTATGAGAATGAAGAGGGACTTAAAAAGTAACTGTTTTCATAGATGAAAAGGGGGCATTTATGATAAAGGGAAGGGGCTCTCTTTTAAATGGGGGCACTTGTTAGAAAGAAAAGGGGGCACATGTGACAATATAAGGTGCGCTTATCCGAGTTAAACAAGGGGTAGTTATTAAAAGGGGAAAGGCCCCTCTCAGATTTGAATAGGGAAATTATCAGAGGTGAATGGGGCACTTATCAAAAGTGAAAAGGGGCACTTCTCGTATTTGAAAAGGGGCACTTATTAGAGATGGAAAAAGGGCACTTATGAGAATGGAAAATGGACACTTATTGCAAAGGAGAACCGGAACTTATCGAAGGAAAAGGGGCACTTTAAAAAAAATAATATAGGCACTTTTTAAAGTAAAGGGGCCCTTTTAATGTAAAAGGTGCCACGTTAGAGCCACCATGGAGTCACTAACCACTAGAAATATATCATAAAGTCATCATCCACCATAGAGCTACTGCTAAAATATCTTACACCACAGGGATATACCATTCAACGGAAATACCATATAATATACTCTACCATATATCATACCATAGAAATACCATACACCATACCCCGGCCCCCCACTCAGTGTTTTTTAGGGTACGCATATGCTCGTTCCCTCTTTTTAAAAGCACCCCCTATCTGAAGACTGCCAACATTTTCGAACCCCCCTTTCGCGGGCTTTTTGCGGGCTTTTCCTGCCTTGGAGACCCCCCTAAATCAGGAAAAATGCTCAATGTACCCCCCTAAATTCGGAATAATTTCTCAGGAGTCCAAAGAGATGAGAGAAAAAAAAGTCAAATACACCCCTTTTTTTTACAATTCTCGGGCCGGACTTTGTCGCACGAAAAGTACCCCTTTACCGGACATTTTGGCAACACGCATGCGGTCATTCCAACCCCTGAGTGGGGGGGGGGGGGGCCGGGCACCATACAGCCACCATAGAGCTACCATAGATCTACCATTCACTTTAGAGTCACCATAGAGTCACATAACCACCATAGATATACCATAAAGTCATCATCCACCATAGAGCTACCACTGAAATATCCTCCACCATAGGGATACCATTCAACAGAAATACCATAGAAATATATTCTACCATATAACATACCGTAGAAATACCATACACCATACAGCCACCATAGAGCTACCATAGATCTACCATTCACTTTAGAGCCACCATAGAGTCACATAACCACCATAGATATACCATAAAGTCATCATCCACCATAGAGCTACCACTGAAATATCCTCCACCATAGGGATACCATTCAACAGAAATACCATAGAAATATAGTCTACCATATAATATATCATAGAAATACCATACACCATAGGACGGCATCAATGATATACCATTGACCATAGAACTCCACCATTCAGCAATTATGTGGTATACCATAGAAATATATTCTACCATATAATATATCATAGAAATACCATTCACCATAGAGCCGTACCATAGGAATATCATAGATTTTTTTTGTAAGGGAACGTTACATAAAAAATAAAAAAACTACCCAAACTGAGTCAAAAAATAATTGAAAATGATTTATTGACAAAAAACAATGAAACAAATTTGTTATTAAAATAATGTACACTATATTGATTTAAAATTTAATTTAGAACATTCATTACAAACATTGAAAACTTTTTTTCAAAGGATAATTAAATCATGGCACTTGTATTTACTACAAATATACCTCTGTATAAAAACAAGAACAAAATCATCAGAAAATAAAAATAAGGTATGATCATGGCATGTCCCCCCTCACCCGAAGCAATACATTCATTCTACACCCCTCCCTCCCTATCTTCAATTACATATTTTTGCATATAATCAATTAAACATCACCAACTATTAGACTCTATAGTGAGACGTTGTGTGGAATCACAAAGATTGAAATGATTCATGTGCGTGTGTGTGTTTGTGTGTGGTTGAAATTGGCATTTAAATCCCAATATTAGACACAAGAGCAGCATGGATGGTAACGCACCAATCATGAAAGAAAATAAGAGTGAGAGTAACAAAAATAGCTGAGTGGTGGCGGGGGGGGGGGGGGCTAAAAGAGAAAGTTAAGAAAATGAGAGGGGAAAAACATTTAAAAATATACATGGATTATGGATAACAACAATTTAAATAATTTTTAAACTGAGCATGATTTTTATTTGGAGTAGAAAAGTAGATGAAATGGAAACATTTAATAACGTTCTTTCCCTCTAGTCATCTTTCCAATTACATAATTGTAATACTGTAAAATAGATCGAATAGACTTATTTGCAGTGAATTGGCATGATATATTTTACAACTTCCTGCAGTTATTTATTGATTAAAAATATTGTTCTTTCATTCAAAAGCTTAGATGTTACAGACAATACAAAATATAGCATTATCAATGTTCTGTACATGTAGATATACTACCGGTATTCAATATTCAGAGTATGACAACAACTTCTTTTCATTTGTCTTTGGACAACAAGACAGCTACAATAAAGGATAATACAGAGTGAAATATCTCGGTCAAAATATAATATATGATTGTATTTCATACAAGCACTTACAAAAATAAGACGTATCTATATACATGTATCTTTAAT